GTTTTTGTATGTGTGACTGTTTTTATTCGACAAAATTAAAAATAAAAAACTCGCTGTGTTATAGGCTCATTTAAGGCCGGAGTGGGACTCATTTTCAGCCCTGGAGTTTCATGCCTTAGACTGGCCCACTTATTTTTTCTTATTATTTTTTTTTTGCTGGCCTTTTCAGTGCCGCCTTCGCACTTTCTATTATCCATTTTTCCTCTATTATTTGTTGCTTGCATATCTCCAACAACTTGAGTTTTTTTTGTTTGTTTTTTTTGAGCAAGGTTCCGCTGTCAGGGGAGTCAAAAGATAATTACGTGATCATTGCCAATTAACATAAGAAATAGAAAATAAGGGACAATTGTGATTCTTTATCTTATTCTTTAAGAAAACAGTGTTTATTATTGTAGAAAATAAGTGGCATGAAATTTGAAAATGTAACAACTGAAGGTCTATGAAACGTCAGTCAATCAAGCATTTTTTATTTTTAAACAATGGCACTTAAAGTTTTGATCTAAAATATTATTGCAACTATAGCCTTTGAATGAATGAAAATGCATATTTTTCAATTAAAGAAAACTTAAGAGAGTGTGGGCCGCTTCTGGTGCTTGGATGTTTACTTCAATAATGAGGTCCAAGTTTAAGAATAGCCTACGCAAGAAGTATTTATTTTATTTTATTACATTTTTTATGTATTTTTTTGTAATGCATTTTTTCCCCTCTCTATTTAACAGCATTAACTTACAATGAAAGACATCTTCCCTCAGGTAGATTAAATGTTTTCCTGCCGTGCTGGATGTTGGGCCCATGATCAATACGTTTTTTGCATTTGCCCAAACTGATTTTGCAAAATAAAAACGTGGACGGTGAAGGGTGCAGTTAGCGCGAGTCCCGCTCGTTGTGAAGCGGGAGCAGCTGGCAGAGAATTCCGCTTGGTCTTAAAGCCTTCCTCAAATGCCTGTCACGCCCCTGGACTCTTTGTGTTGTGTTTTCCCTCCCCAGGTGTGCCGTGTTCCCTTTAATTAGCAGAGCGCTGTCGTCCGAAGATGGTCCTCGGGAGGAATTCGCCAACTTCGTGGAGTGGACTCTGGCGAGAAACGGTCGCCACTCACCATCTGCCCCATGGAGGATCTCGCCGGATCCACTCCGGACCCAGAGCCCAGCCCACAATCTCCCCGCGGTGCATCGGCCCGTAGACCCAGTGGCTCCACCTCGGCTCCTAGCTCCCTTGCCTCCACCGTCACCCATCGATCCATCAGCTCCACGGGGCTCCCTCGTCCCTCCGGCTCCGCCTTTGTTGGGCGTCGACCCGCCATCGCCTCTGGACTCCACTCCTCTGACTGCGCCTCGTCGCTCTGTCCCACCAGCTCCGTTGGGCTCCTTCCTCCCGCCAGCTCCACCTTGGTCCTCAGTCGCTCCGGCTCTGACACGGATCTCC